AGGAGTAGCAGGAGCACGAGGAGGAGCAGGAGCAGGAGGAGCACGACGTCGCGTCACGCCGCGCCACGCCAAACTTGTTGTGCTATTCGCTGTACAGACACCCACTTACGAACTTCTCGCAGGCAATTTACCACCGGCTGGAGAGCAGCGGCGGCGGTGCCAGGGCGGGGCAGGGAGACGGAGAGGCTGCCGTCAAACGTCATCGCAATCATGATTACACCTACTCGCCGTGGGGTAGGCAACCCAACTAACGCAGCCGTCGTCTCGTCGTCTAGCGCAGCGCGCCACGCGCCGGCGTGTGGGTCTGTGTTGGTTGACGGACACGGTTTCCGGTTCCCTGAACCAAGGTGCCTGTTTAAAACATCCCTGTGGCGGGGAGTAGTAGGGCATCTCGGCGGGAGCGCGAAAAGTCACCGCCGCCGCCGCCGCCGACCCCGGCCTGGCCCGGTGCACCAGACCATCAAAGTTTTGCCAACTTCACCTGCCGGGTGTGGCAGGCGGGCTGAAAGAGACAGCGCGCGCGAGAGAGAGAGCGAGAGAGAGAGAGAGAGAGAGAGAGAGAGAGAGAGAGAGAGAGAGGACGCAGAGGGCGGCGACGACGACGAGTGTGCGCGGCCAGGGCGGCGTGGCGGCGACGGGGACTTCTATATCACCTCCTCCTTCCTCCTTCTCCTCCTGCTCCTCCAGGGGATCAGGTCGCGCGGGGGCGGGCCGCGAAAAACTCTGAAAGCACTGCGAATAACGTTTAAAGCTCATCCCAGAGACGCGCCGAGCCGGCGGAGGCGCGGCCCCGGCGGCTCCAGCTCCGAAAAGATAATAAATATAAAAAGGAACAACACGGGGATCGGCGGACGACGGGGAAGGACGGTTGGGGCGCAACTCGCCCCGGCGAGGGCACAAGTTGCGCGGCTGTGCCGGTGTCCCTTCTGTGCGGCCCGCGAGAAAGATAAAGCAAGAAACTCGAGTTGCGGGGCGGGGCGGGGCGGGGCGGGGACTCGGACGCGCCGGCGACTTATTAAAGTGAAATTAGAGGAGGAGGGGAGGAAAAAGTTGGCGATTCCATGACCTGCTCGGGGAAGAGATCAGAGAGGAGCAGCGGCATGGCCTCGGCCACGGAGCCCGGGCCGTGCGAACCGGGCCGCCGCCGAGGATGGACCAGACACGGGCTCTAGTTGCAGACACGATCGGCTGTCAAGGGAATCACAGCTACGCGTGTGTGGGAGAGAAAGAGCGAGAGAGATAGAGGGGGAGGGGGAGAGAGAGAGAGAGAGAGAGAGAGAGAGAGAGAGAGAGAGATAGAGAGAGAGAGAGAAAGAGAGAAGGGGGGAGGGAGAGAGAGAGAGAGAGAGAGAATGGCAATACAACAGGCTCCAGCAGGGCGGCTGGAAGGAAATGTTTTGTAGTACGGAATGGTGCGTGCGTTGCGTGCGCGGCGGGTGTGTTGTTGTGTTTATTCGCAGCGGAGTGAGGGGGGGGGGGGCGGTGTTCCATTAATCGGAAGTGCTTATGCGTGATGCCAGCCTCCCCCGCACCTGTCCGCACGCAATGCTGCTGACCGACACCTTAACTGAATATACAGCTCTCCTACACACGAGGGAGGCCGTGATGTGATGAGAGAAGACCTCGTCGCGGAAATGTTTTTATTCTTTTGACTTGCGGCGTGTGCGGATTAAATTTTCTTTTACCCATCCGTCTGTTGTGGATGTATGAAAAATAAATGCGCATGAGGAAACCAGCCGCGTGGAAAATAACCACTCAAAGACGATGTTTTATTCATTATCTGAGTGGGCATTAAGCAAAGGGTTTCTTTTTGTTTTGTTTCTAATTAAATTGAAGGCTTCGGTATGGATTTGGGATTTGGAACATGATCTTCGAAAGTGAGTCCACACCAAGAAGTTTTATTCAATAGTTCACAAGGGCTAAGAGTAAAAATACGGTAACGATTTAAAATTGCTTAAGTCTTTTTTGTAAACGGGCAATCACCAACTTATATAGCTACTTAGATATCTAAATGCAAAAGCAGCAATACTGTTTCTGGAAATAAACAAAAAACACAGACCTAGATTCGTCTCAAACTCTGCTACATGGAAAAAGTAAATCACAGATAAAAATGAGCAAACACTTTATCATTTATATGATAAATCATAATTTCACGTTTCCTACTAAAGTTATGGCCACACGAGAACCACGGCCGCGTATCGGCGAGTCTGGGAAATGGCGTGTGTCAAATCGAAACTCGATCGGTCTCCGAGAGAATTGATACGGGGGCAAGAGGAAACAGCGCGCCTCTCGCATCGAGACATCGAGTCACACAAAACAAGAAAACATTATGAATAACTAATCAGTTCGAAAGACATTACAGGCCACCTGTGCTTCGCCGTGCAGCATCAAATAAACAAGCACTAGCAGTTATCAAAAAGCCCTGTCATGCATTAGAAATGCTAGGTCTAAACTAAAATGAAACAAAAAAACGCAGGTACTCGATGTATCGTGGTAATAAAGAAAAAGGTAATTTGAGTTACAATAACTGGGCACTAACCACTCTAAAATAAAATTGACGTAAAAGTACTTTAAAAAACTGAATGTACTGTACTACAACTGCTTATCATCGTCATATTATCATCATTATCATCATCACCATATTCTACGACGACGTGACCGTTGAGACGGTCCTCACCGTGGGGGTACCTCACAAAAAAAATCAGAGTATAACCTCCAAAAAAAAGTCAAGAAAAATAATTTTCAAAAATCGGAGAAATCCAGAACAAATCAGAAAAAAAGGACAAGTAAAAGTATGGGTATGCTTTGTTGTGAAGTACCCCTCACTCCGTGCGCATGCGCATGCTCCGTGCTGCGCGGCGGCGGCGCTGCGCGCGCTGGGCGGGTGCGACGCGCTGCGCACTGCGCCCGGAGGTCGTCCTGGAGCGCGCGTTCCTCCTGACGGCCGGCTTATTCCCTGCAACACAGCGGATCAGACAAACACGCGTGAGTCCAAGAGCAGCAAGTCAGGCTGGCGGGGTTGCGGGAGGTGCGAGCGAGAAAGCAGTAGTACACACACACACACACTTATAGACACACTCACTAACCAGCCGTGTCCGGCCGGTGTCCGGGGCTCCGTCTCGAGGAGTGTTCGGGGGGTTAGCGAGTCGGCAGTACACAGTGTGGGGGGTGAGCAGGCTTATTGGACAGGACAGCACACACAGGAGGGACTTACATGACAAGAGGGTCGTAGGCGTTGTGGTGGGAGCTCTGCACGGCGCAGTGCTCCCGCAGCGCACGGAGGTCAACGGCCGACTAAGAGAAGAACGACAGCAGGAGCGATCGACTTGAAATTACCGGGCTGGACTCCGGCCAAAAAGGGCCCGCCAGCAGCGGGAAAGGTGTGTGGCTTCCGGTGCATCCGGAAGTGCTCCGGTCTCTCTCTCTCTCTCTCTCTCTCTCTCTCTCTCTCTCTCTCTCTCTCTCTCTCT